GATGGAGACAATTTCCACCGCAAAGTATTACAGTTAAATCTACTTTGAAAACAACTGATTATCTAACATAAAAAGTATAGTAAGTGACCTTGACATTCAGTATCACAGTCCCACTTTGATGATTATATATGTTAATATTCTATGAAATTGAGTTTAGAGCACAAAGATTTACTGTACTTCATGGAGGATTTTCATCATAGGTAGCTTTCATAAAACTTACAGCACCAACCTGAGTATAGCCTCCAAAAAGCTGCAATTATCAATAGGTTTCTTTACTTGTTCCATTTCAGTAACCACTCAATATGCAGAGAAATAGATTTCATTTAAATAAGCTGAATCAGCAACTTGAATTAGCCAATTAGCTTAAAATCAATTCAGATAAGGGATAGTTTTTTTACACTCTTAAAAATAAAGGTTCCAAAAGGGCGTTTTCACGGTAATGCCATAGAAGAAACAAGGTTTCATGAATGTTAAAGATTCTTTATGGAACCATCAGTGCCAATAAAGAACATTTATTTGCATCCAAGTGCATGTGCTGTGAAAAGTTGCACAGCAACATTCAGTTTAAGTGTCACGAATCCAGTCCATGAACTTCCATCCACTTGCCACCAGAGGCCCTCCCATGATATTGACTCTCACACCACACAGACTGTTACACATCACCCTGCACTACATTTCCCATACTCCATTGCTCTAATCACAAGCTCACCTGAAACCAATAACACACACTATATAAATCAGTCTCACACCACCATTCAACGCCGAGTTTTGTCTAGCGTTTTTCACTCACCAAGTGTTAGCTACTTTACCAAGCCATTCCGTGTTTATTTCCTGTTTGATCTCTAGTATTGTTCTGCATTTATCACTCACCATGTGATAGCTGCTTTACGGAGCCTAGTTTCTCGTTCTAGTTTAGTCTTGTCATTTCATGTTGCCTTGTTTCTGCCTTTCTTCCTTGGTTCCACCGTTGTTTCACTGCTCCGACGCTGTTTCTCTCCCGTACTTGTTCCATTTCAGTAACCACTCAATATGCAGAGAAATAGATTTCATTTAAATAAGCTGAATCAGCAACTTGAATTAGCCAATTAGCTTAAAATCAATTCAGATAAGGGATAGTTTTTTTACACTCTTAAAAATAAAGGTTCCAAAAGGGCGTTTTCACGGTAATGCCATAGAAGAAACAAGGTTTCATGAATGTTAAAGATTCTTTATGGAACCATCAGTGCCAATAAAGAACATTTATTTGCATCCAAGTGCATGTGCTGTGAAAAGTTGCACAGCAACATTCAGTTTAAGTGTCACGAATCCAGTCCATGAACTTCCATCCACTTGCCACCAGAGGCCCTCCCATGATATTGACTCTCACACCACACAGACTGTTACACATCACCCTGGACTACATTTCCCATACTCCATTGCTCTAATCACAAGCTCACCTGAAACCAATAACACACACTATATAAATCAGTCTCACACCACCATTCAACGCCGAGTTTTGTCTAGCGTTTTTCACTCACCAAGTGTTAGCTACTTTACCAAGCCATTCCGTGTTTATTTCCTGTTTGATCTCTAGTATTGTTCTGCATTTATCACTCACCATGTGATAGCTGCTTTACGGAGCCTAGTTTCTCGTTCTAGTTTAGTCTTGTCATTTCATGTTGCCTTGTTTCCTGATTCCTGCCCGTGTTCCTTGGATTAACCCTTGTTTCACCGCTCAGACACTGTTTGTTTCCCATCTGGATTATTGCTCACGTTATCGGACTACCCCTCTTGTCAAGCCCTCCGGATGTTGTTTGCAGATCGAGAACCCACGTCTTTCCTAGGAATACTCTTGTGTCTTGCCCGTCCCATACTTGCTTGCTGTTGTTCGACCCTGCCTGTATTATGACCATGTTTCACAATAAAAGCTTGCACATGGATCCGCACGTCTCACGTCTCGACTGCCCGGTTACATTAAGTGAGCAGTGTAGATTCATTTTGCATATATTATTTTGTATAATGTATAAGACTCAAATGGGACAAATGGTTGAGTTTTTATACTTCAAGTTAAGTTCGAATGTGAACATAAATGACACAGATGACTAAATCAATTTTAAAGTCACAGGTACAAGAACACAATGGTTAATGAGTATCTCAGATCTTCAAATCATTTACTTTGTTTAATGTTAAATGAAGAGTAAGAGTTGACAATTCTGGACAGCTCTAATGTACATTTCTTTAAACATCTGCTCTGATTGGGTGAACAATTAACATAGTAGTGTCCTAGAAATGTCAGAAGCAGCAAAGCGTAGGTTAAATAGACAATTATTTATTGCTATCCATAAAACAGTTTATCGGCCTGGAGCAATTATTCACACAGCTCTGTGTTGGTGAAGCACTGTGAAATGCACAAGGGCATGAGAACGAGTCTGTTCCTGGCTGATTTAAGATGAGATGCCAGCTTATACCTGTAAATCTGTCACATTCAACGAGGATGTGTGCATATTGCTTGTACAGTATGCAGGCTAAATGCTGACAATAAGGAGTTTTTCCTCATTCATATCCATTATTAAAATGTGAGACATTAGTGGAGCATCTTTATGCAGTGAACATGCGAGAGCGAGGGCTGATGTGCTATTCTTTATCTGTATAGAAACAAACGACAGTCTTATGAATAAATGTTATTTGGAGTTCTTATCAGTCCACAGTGTAAAGAGCAACGGAAATACAGCAATACTCCAGAATTGTATCCTTGTCCAAAGGGAATGACAGCCATTGGAATATTTACAACATGTTTAAGAGCTGTAAATGAAGATGAAGCGCCATTCTTAACAACTTAAGCATATTGATTTCAAAGTAGTTGCGACACCAAGAAAATAACCTTGGTTTCGGAGGAAAAGCACCATAAATCTGCATTTTAAAGGGCGAAGAAATGGACAATGCATGGCATGTGGCCTCCTTATCATCAAAGGGAGTTTAGACAGCTACAAACACAAGGACATAATATTCTGTTTGTTCAGTAAATCTAGATAAAAAATATCATTAACAAAAATAACTTTAGGGTTGGTTGATGGTTACATATTTCATACACTGTACTGCATATGTTCCAATTTTGCTTAGAGACATTTGTATAGCGATAGCTCATAATGGCAATTGCCTACTTTTTAGTGGTCTTGGTTCTGGAAGTATATTTCCATTCATTTTTTCATTGGGATTTCAAAATATTTTTCAATGCAGTTAAATCAGATTTCTTAATCTACTTTAATACAGTTAGCTAGATGCAGTTCCAAGTCATTAACTAAAACAAGCAGCTCCAAGATAAATTATATTACAAACGGAATGAATGAATATTAATGAAATGAATAAACATACAAAAATCAGGAAAAGGACTTTGTGCTTAATATCTTTTATGAATGAATGAACTACAATCCCATGAAGCTTTGCAAATAACATATTAAATCAAACAAATTGATTTATAATTATTAGTTAAATGTATAAAAACAATATAAAGTTAATCACCTAGAACATGACAATTAAATATTCTTTTAAAATGAGATTTAATTTTTAGAGAAGTAATGCTGGCTGATGGTTTTAAAAGAAGTATAGCAGACTGATATTTTCCGAGCTCATAGTACATCTGTTTTGAAAGGTTTATATACAGAATCAGTCAAATCTATTTCTCAATGAAGAAAATGAATGGGATTTTTAGCTCTGGAACCCACCTGTTGTGCTCTACAGACACAATCCATCAGAAAATAAACATGAGAAAAAGCTATATATTTCTAAATATATGTTTGACAGCGTAGAAATCGGTGGTGTTGGCGAGAGGCATGAGCTCCAGACATTGGTTCTTGTCTCCAAAAGTTAAAGTCTACTTTCCACTAGCTGACACTTTCTACTAAGGCTGCCAAGTAGCTGCAAAGCTTTGAGAGGAAATGAACTAACAAGATGAAAAAAAATTTCTTCACAATAGGTGACACTTGGTCTCGACCGCGGTAGCTTAATGATAAATATTCTAGCTTATGAACACATTCCAGACAGGTCTGCGATGACGGTGGCCATGTTTTAGTAATGTCTGTTGAGCACTGTTGATGAACCTTTTTCTAGTACTCAAAAAAAAGTACTGAGGCAATCACTTTGTCAGATATTTGTGAAGAGTTTACTCTTTTTAAAAAAACGGCCTAAATTAGGAGCACAAGAATTATGAAAATTTGGCCTCTTGAGAGTTGTCATTTATTTAATTCAGACCAATTAAAAAACAAGGCAAATTGAAAACGAACAGATGAACGAGATGTTTAGAAACAATATTATTCCCCTTCACTTATTTATATAATTAAAGTGATTCATAAATATTTTATTTATAATAAAAAGTGACTGACCACTAATTTGTAGACGGACGGACGGACGGATGGATGGATGGAGCTGGGGTCGTCAAAGGTTCAAATATTATATAAAAAATACATTAAAAAGACCTTGTTCAACCTCCAGTATGTTGTATAATCAGCATGTCTAGAGTGGCATTAGTTTAGCAGTTGAAAGCTTTAAGCCTGCTTAACATTAGTAAATCTTTACAAATACGCAACATTCCTCTTTTAGTCTTTGTAACTTTGAATTGCACTAAAATGCCTTCCACTTATCCTCAGTATTCCTCTCCGAACTTACAACCGATAAGAACAATGAGATTTGTCAATGTCCTGCTGGTAACATTTGCAGGAGTAAATTTAGCATTTTCATTTCTGATATGCTCTGAATAACTATATGAATGTTTATATGTTAGTCAGATGAACATGATTGGAAAATAAATGAAGGCCATCTGAGTGTCCGGCCTTGTAGGTAACCCCAGAGAAATTTCACGACAGTTTAATTCCCCACAGGTCGGCAGGTCAACCTGTAATAGTGTTTGTTTACCACACTTGAGCTCTTTATTGTATTACTGCTGGATTAAAATGAAATGAGCGTTTAGAACTGCTCACATGACTCTACATAATGATGGGTTTAGCGACAAAATGAGATTCTGAACACAGTGCACACTATTCAAGCATGAAGTTGTGGTCTGCACTGCAGCACGCCTAAGGAGAACCATGAAAAAAAAGAAATATTTTTAAGGCAAAGCACAAAATATAAAATATATCTGAAGACATACAAGCTGAAACATTTATTAAACATTCTCTGATTAAATGAATCAGGTACCTGTGTGTGCACATTCCTCTCATGTGACTGGCACCAGGTTTGTCTAAAAAGGTAAAAAAATACTTTTAAACATGCTAGATAGGCGATTTCTAAGCTTAGTCAAATATGGACTAACCCAACCGTTGGGTTAAATTTTTACATTAAATTTTTAACCCAAAAGTTGGGTTAGTCCATATTTGACCCAAAGTTGGGTTGAAACAACCCAGCATTTTTTAGAGTGTAACTTACTGCCACCTATACCCAGAATGCCCAGTTAATTAACCCTAAACTTCCTTACCCAAGGTATGCCAGTTCCGAATAAGTTGTCAACCCAAAGTATGTTCACAGCGAATACACCAGATATTTATAACAGAGCACTGAATCCATGAGTCACACTGAATGGCAAATTACACTCTTAATGGATATCGCTACCTAATTGGCAGTTGAGCATTTTTAAAATCTTAAAGTTTAATCTTTAATCAGTTTTATTAATGTGAACAAGAACTGTTATATCGTTTGTTTGAAGCCAATTACGAACTAAAAAGAACGATTACAGCGCAGCTTTGCATGTACAAAACAAAAGATCAGCAAGTTTGTCATGATGACTTTATGAGCTCAGCTACAATATTCAGTTATTTTGATTAAATGTTTTTGTTAATTTATAGCTGAACAATTAATTTGAAATAAAATAAACCACCATATGGCCTTGTGTAATTATTAAACTACAAAAGTCTGCAATAAAATGAAATCACAATATGTACAAAAATTGCTTTGATCAAAGACTTTGATTTTACTCTGTTAAACCTACAAAAACATAATAAAATAAAATAGGTTTTAGAAATTAGCCCTTTCATTTGACTAGCCATTTTCATAATATTCTTAAGCAAACAAGACAAGTTAATTAAACTGGGTGGTAACTGTTGTTTTGATTATAAGGATAAAATGTAAATTTTAGTAGTGAATCATCATAAGAGGAAACTTCCTCAAGCAAAAACTGACATTCAATTAACCAAATCAAATTAAACCCTAGCACTCTCAGTGGAGTGTCCTCTCTATTTTGTGATTTCACATATTTTCCACAACATTCGTGCCACTGCCACAAAATAATCTTTCATTGGTATAATTATTACAAACCACATTCTCCAATCGTTCTGTCCAGTACTTTAGTGCTCGTGAGGAATCAGATGTTCAGATAACGGCAATGAAACACACGAACAAGTGTCAGAGTGAGTGATAAATCAGCCACAGCAGGGCTTGATTCTTGAAGATATCACGCAATAGAATAACAATAATAAAGCTTTATCTGAAAATGGGAGGGGGGAGATCAAAACACAAAGCTCTGTGTGTGCAGCAAATGAAATTGACAAATAACTATCTGGAGGTCTCTCTCACTAATCAATAAAATGATTATACTCTTCATCTGGGATTCCTCCAGGCAAGCATGCTAACCAAAAAGAGGAGCCCCATATAGACACCCAAAAAGACAAAGAGTGACTGTTTGTGTATATTTGTGGCAGAGAATTTACATCCTGTGTTGGCATACTGGTAAATCATAATAATTGTTTGACATTTAGCATGGGATGGAAAACAACAAGATGTGATGCACTGTTGTATGCAACTGAAATGATTCAGTTGTAAACTAAATGATTTACCTGAACTTCCTAAAAATTGTCTGACATCATACCAAATACATCAAATAAAGTATAACAACAGAACATAGTACTTTTGCAAACCATTAAAAGGAATTTTGCGCTCAATTGAAGCAAAACCCCAAAATCATCCAGGAACATGTCAGTGAGCTGATCTGAGGAGTCTAGTTTGCCAGCACAGATTTACTGCATTCTTAATTCCCATTACCTCAGTATCTGGCACCATTATACCTACAATCCATGCCAATCACCAGAACTGACAGAAATGAGATGAAGTATAAATGACCTAAATATAAAATCTAAATGAAAATGCCATTTCAGGCAGAGTCTTTAAAAACATTCATTCTAGTGATTGTGGCAACGGCTTTCATAACATAACATTTAACTCGAAATCTTTTGTTTTCTTTTATCAGCATTTTCTGACATTAAAGGGGTCATATGATGCTGCTAAAAAGAACATTATTTTGTGTATTTGGTGTAATGAAATGTGTTTATGCGGTTTAAAGTTAAAAAACACATTATTTTCCACATACTGTACATTACTGTTTTTTTTTTTTTTTTAAATCAATCTAATAATTGAATTGTAGATTTTTTTAAAGACCCATTTCTTTTGCATGTTGCCACTTATGGTTTCTATGGGCCTATTTTGCAGCCTTGCTTTGAAAATCCAAGCACCGATTTTTCTTTTCAAGGGGTTTAAGGGGTTATTGTAATGAGAATAAGATGGCATAGATACAAATATTGGTCACACTTAATTTCAAGGTTTAATTCTTGCTATTAACAAACCATAAACTACAAATTTGACCTTAATAACCTCCCAATATTTGCTGCTTATTAATAGTTAGTAAGGTCGTTGTTAAAGGTATAGTTCACCCAAAAATGAAAATTCTGTCATTAATTACTCACCTTCATGTCGTTCCAAACCCGTAATACCTTCGTTCGTCTTTGGAACACAAATTAAGATATTTTTGATGAAATCTGAGAGCTCTCTGACTCTCCATAGACAGCAATGATATTACCACAATCGACGCAAGAAACGTAGCAAGGACATTGGTAAAACAGTCCATGTGACATCAGGGGTTTAAACCAGTAATTTTACGAAGCTACAGGATTACTTTTTGTGTGCAAAGAAAACAATAATAACATAATTTATTCAGCAGTTCTTCTCCCCGAGTTACCGTCTTCCGCCATTTTGGAGAGTACCCCAGAGCTTAATCAGCTTATTCAGCATTGTTTATGTTCAGCATGCATTGATTTACGTTCTGGGGTACGCTCCAAAATGGCGGAAGACGGTAACTCGGGGAGAAGAACTGCTGAATAAATTAGGCTATGTTATTAGTGTTTTCTTTGCACACATTGGGCCCTATTTTAACGATCTAAGTGCATGGTCTAAAGCGCACCGCGCAGGTGCACTTAGGGCGTGTCCGAATCCACTTTTGCTAGTTTAACGACGGGAAAACGGTTGGTGCTATTCTCTTAATGAGTAATGGATGTTTTTTTGGGCGTAACGTGCAATAAACCAATCAGAGTCTCATCTCCCATCCCCTTTAAAAGCCAGTTGCGCTCGCGCCGTGGCAGGTTCGCTATTTACATGGCGGAATGTAATTTTTCATTTTTAAAAATGTTTGTGTGCTGCTGCGCGTCCCTGTGTGTGTAATAAGCAAAGTGTACGCGCCGTTGTGCACCCCTCTATAGGCCCATATTACTAACGCGCTCTTTAAATAACAAAGAAAAAATATTGCGCCAGACTTTAGACCAGGTTTCCAGTTGGTCTGTGGCGCAGTCTATTTTCAGTTCCTCAAAATAGCAACGTGCCAACAATGCGCCTGAACACACCCCTTTTTTTAGACCAGCACGGCCATGGGCGCACAAATGGGCGCAAATGCATTTTCTATTTAAACAACGCGGCGCAGGATGGGAAAATGAGTTGCGCTGCATTGCGCCGGGTGTATGATAGGGCCCAAAAAGTATATGTTTTCATATATGAATATGGTCATGCAGAATATGTGCTTTATAAGTACTACTAAACAGCCAGTACGTTAATAAAAGGCATGCTCATAAGCAACTTGAGAATTGGTCCCTATATTAAAGCTTTACCCAAATATTTTGTGAAATGACATCATTGTTCACAATAATGCGAATAATCACAGGATGACAGGTGTTTTGAAAATCAGAAGAGGACAAAAATCTTACCAGACACCATCAACATGTCTACTCTTAATGCTTAAATGCAAAGAGGAACTCTTTCAGAGCCAAAGAAACCAGCATTTCATGGGCCATCAGCTGGAGTGGTTCTGTGATGAGTGCAAGGCCCAACAAGTAAGAGCAAAGGTACTTGATTGCCAAGACATTCTTATCAATAGATGCAGGACATTTCTTGGCAGGGGCACAGCTTTTAGATGCTCTTTCTTCTTCCGAAAGTGCAGCCCCTCTGACAATCACTTTTTCCTCTACATTTATCCATACCTTTTTTACTCGCCCTCATGCTGTTCCAAACCTATATTCTTACTTTCTTCTCTGAAATATAAAAGAAGATTACATTTTTGGCCATACAGTGGATGTCAGGAGGCTTTAATGTCATTTGTTTTCCAATGTCCTTTGAAATATCGTCTCTAGAGTTTGTGGAAGAAAGAAATGCATAGAGCAGTAGAATGATATGAGGGTGAGTAAATGATGACAGAATTATCCTTTTAAAGAAAAATATATATTATCTACTGTATAATAGCTCAATCATTTTCCTATACATAAAACTTTCTTCAACCTTGGTCCATGCAGGTTAATACGGTAAACCTTGGATAATGAGGATGGAAAACTGAAAGTCTAGATTGAGTTAAAGAAGGTTTACTAACTACCACAGGGACATACTCAATAGTCTTGTTCTGGCAGAGTTGCTCCAGGCAGAAACAGCTGTGTGGTTATGTCATGCTGCTAGTCATAAGAAAACACATTGGCAGACTGAGAATTTTTGGGGCATTCCTTTTTGAGAGCAGGACAGCTGAAGCTTCAGGCCTACCCCAGTCGGGACCTCCACGTGAAGTAACCCCACATTTGCGTCAAATGAAAATGGCTTCCAGGCTTTATTGGTCATGCGTCAAACTAATGGAATGTGACCCTGCCAGGATGTCAAAAATGTAAAGCTAGTAATGGGAATTAAGATGCAAAGGTGTTCAGGTGTATCTATTGTTTTAGTAGGTCTGTTTGTTTACTATTATCATGGCAACAGTGCCATGTTCACAAAGAACTTGTCCTGACAGGTGTATAGAAGCAGAAATTCTAGATTAAAAAATAGGATTTTTCAATTGTACTTCCTCATCAGCAGTTACTCATGCATCAAGAGTATTACTCATGCATTAAGATATTTTTTACAGTATATGTGTATGCAGTGTCTTTGACATGACAAAACAAGTATAACTGATAAAATGATCAGCATGCATTGTCAAAACTAGTTTGTGTTGCATCTCAAGTGACATTTACAGTATTGATTGAGTCAACAATTGACCAAAAGATTGAAGTTCTATCTACTACAGTACTGTAAGGCATTCTAAGTAATAACTATGAATATTGGGACATATTAGACTAAACATGCCAAAATCAGCTCAAACACTAAGTATTTTTCTGATAGTTCAGATTTCCACTTGCCCTGCCAACATTTTAAATGACTCAGCACAAAAATGTTTACATTTATATGTTAATGAATTATTAAAAAACATTTATTTTAAATGCATATTTTAACCTTTTTTTAATTTCATTTGAAAATTATTTGATGTATAGTTTACTTTTTATATTACACATTTTTAAAACTTTTTTAATCAAATGTTAAGTTAACGTATACAATAAAAATATCATTTCCATTAATAGCTGTAAATTATATAATTAAAAAGAAAACAGACCATAAATCATTTTAATTATACAAGTCCAAATTTGTTCCTGTAGGGCCACTGTCCTGCAGAGTTTAGCTCCAACCAATTAAACACACCTGAACCAGCTAATCAAGGTCTTATTGTTACTAGAAACTTCCAGACAGGTGTACTGAGGCAAGTTGGAGCTAAACTCTGCAGGACAGTGGCCCTCCAGGATCGAGTTTGGACACCCCTTTTATAAACCACACAATACAACACAGTTGCTGGAAAATGATGGCATACAGGCAAAACATTACTGATTGGTTTGTCATTTTCATCCTATTCTTACTTATGCTACCAATCACAAGACATTACTTAAATTTTTACAAAACCTTTATGTTAGCCAGGCAGATCATTTTATCACTCTATATGTATATAGATTACTATACACACTGCAAGACATGGACAGTGAGGTCAGTCTGAGCCTGAAGACGGACAGTGACTCATTAATAATTGGGGCTGTGTATGCTTTACTATGGCTTACATTCAGTGTGGTACAACTGACTCGGAACCACTGACTCACTTACTTTTTCATGTACAGTAGTTCCTGGATGATACACTGAAAAAAAAAAATCTTCCAGTGTGCAATGCCAAACAAACCTAACCAAACCACTTCTATTGAAAGTGTGATCAATTCATTAGTGAATCATAAGCATAGAGTTTCAGACTTAAAGTATGCATATAATGTACTATTGGACTAGAAAATTCTCTACTTATAATACCAACCAACTGATAAGATTCAAAGTGTATTTCCTTAAGTCCAAAATTATTTGCATATTCGCTCTTCCACACATGGACCAACTATATTTTAAAGTTACACACTTGGGAAGTGTATGACAAACAAAAGACAACAAATCTCTTGTGGAAATTTCAATGGGAGGATGTTTACACGGAGAAAAGGTGTCTGGTTAATGTCAAGCATAAATCAATCAATCAATCAATCTATTCTTGACAGTTGAACGTAATGGACTGTGATGGCAGATTGCAAATTGCACTTCTTGCACCAGCGAAGCAACTGCCATTAAGTTATAAGTTCAAATGGATGCCAACAGAGAACTGATTCCATGGGATGAAATATTCATTATTTGAATATCTTCTTTACTACTAAGACATATCATCACATAAAAAAAAAAAATCAAAGCACTCTAGTTTTGTGTAGATAGTGTAATTATCTCTTTAAAGAAAATTATCCCTCTTAAAATTTAATTACAAACAAGTTTCCCACGCCTTTGAAGTGCACATCAAATTATGAAGTATATCAAAGCGTAATTTGTGCTTTTTATTTCACTTTGTCAAGAAAATGTAGTACTTTGAGACTTAAGTTACCATTTTTTTAATCTTTCAAATGCTGCACTGTGTGCAGAGTGGGGCTTTTTAGTAGAATGACGGAAAAATCTATAAAAAATTCACAATGCATATCTTTCTCATTCTCCAATTGTCTACAACCCAATTAAAATTCTTTCTGCTCCATTCACCCATCCAATTGTGTATAATCAGAAAAACTCTGACCTTACACAGTGGCACACATAGAGCATTTGTTATTTGACATCCATATGAGAGTTCTGTTCTTTCTCCCCCTGGCACGTTGCCAGTGAGGGATGAAATGAGAAGTGAATTGAGCAGTGGTGCACATGCAAATAAACCCCAAACATCAAGTCAATACACCAGTTACCAATTTGCCTGAACTGCCAACCATAATGAATTCGAATAAGCATGACCCATAGAGCCATTAACAAGCCACTGTTAACAATAACCACTCTTAATTCATGAATGAGGGGTGTGATAGAGCTGCTCAAAAATGGTCTGAGAATCAGTTGGCTTAAGTCACTTCATGATTAAACGGTAAAATGAACATGTGAGCCTCACTGCAGAGCCTCACTTGTTTTGCCTTAATGAAAGGGGAAATTATAAACAAACACAAAGACGGCTGTTGAGGCCTCAGTGTCAACTGAATTCACAACTCACTGATGCAAAAATAGATAGTTGTTCAGTGATTATTGTGTAATTTTATTGAACGTTATGTGAAAATAATCAGTATATAAATTAATATGCTGAATTATGTTAACCCTGGATGTAGTGATGGGGAATGATGAACGTATAATGGTCTTTTCATTAGACAGTGGACCTTTCATTAGACAGTACACCAGTGAACTTGAAATAATCTAATATTATCAGGAACACGTGTAATGGTCTTTTCATTAGACAGTGGACCTTTCATTAGACAGTACACCAGTGAACTTGAAATAATCTAATATTATCAGGAGGAGGTGGATGGATTTGACGCACACCTCCTCATGTGACCACTACCAACCAATGAAATAAAAGCTTTTTAAAAAAATGGCTGATCGGACCACATTCCACCATTAAAAAACAAGGCCAAAAGGGTTGGAAACAATTGTGGCAAATCAGGTATCTATAACCAATAAAAAATAACCGGAACAAAGAAAAAACAGAAAATGACCAAATTTGGAGAGAACAAAGGGTATATAATATAAGCTGACAAACAGAGACGGGGGGAGAATGATTTGGAATGCTGTGACTGTCTTCCCGGCTTTGTTTCTTTGTTAAATAAAGTCTTATTTTGACATCTGGAACTCTGCTCCTCCACTTCATTGGCCGCACCCAAGAAAAATCCACAACATGATCAGGCAAAATAAGACAGGACAACAAGAGCAAAAACATGAAGGTACAGAATGTGCAATGATGTAGGCTTACTCCCTGCAGCTCTGTAATTAAAAATAATCACAAACAAACAAATAAGGATTTACTTTCCAAAGTCTGCAATATTGTTACTAAAGCTGTGAACTCATACCAGAAACACACTAAGTTTCTACACAGAATATGTGAAAAATACAAGCAACCCAACTAAAACTTAGAAATTGGATATGCAATAAATATTGATCGGCATTTAACTATGTATATTAAAAATTACACATAGGCCTACCTGGGGCGTTTCTAGTCCACTGGTGCACTGACTCAAGTAAAAAGGTTCACCCTTATTTTGTATTACGTATTTGATATTTACGTGTCTTGATAGCGTACCTGTCCTGAAGTAGGAAGGAAGGGAGTCGTACACGGCACGTTCATTCAGTTGTTGAACTTAAAGGTTTTTCTTAATCGCTGGGAAACGATAGTATTTGCAGGTTTGATTTCAATGGATTGTGATGGGTGTTCCATTGCAATAAGCGGTCAATTTGTTTGGTATTCTAAAGTTTGGAGTTTTGTTTCAAACGATGCCGTATTCACATTATTCACACTGAATCGCGATCCGATTCAAGCTATCACGCAGCAGAAAACATTTGAAATTGAACAGAATCAATAGAGTGATTCATTCGTGAATCGGACATTGCTAGTTCTGAATCTAAACAGTCGAAAGAAACACCGGATACGCGACATGTTTGCCTAAATTTTATGAGGGCATGGTTCAAGTCGATATACGGTAATATCACTAGTCAGACAATGATTTATCGATAAGATTTTACTGGTGTTCGTGCCTAGACCTACTTGGTAAATTGGCTCCTCTCAAGAGATGGCGCCATGAAGGGCAGGCCAAATCTACGGAGCCCTGAAAGGATTTGGAGAATATTTATCAATATGAGAACAATTATATACTAATGCTTTTTAGTTTTCTTGCAAATGTTTTGCTTCCCCCTAAGAACTGAAAATAGTTTTCCTCATTGAAATATTTTTCCCACTATCTCCTTTTTTATCATCACCACCTTGTAAGAGACTGCTTAAAAAGCAACGTTATTTTTATGTTTTCTTTTATTGGATAATAGTTAATCGCAACAGGGATTTTGTGGCGCTGGTGCTTTAAAATGTTATGGGACACTCAAGTGTAGTATTCGCTGGCCAAATAGTCTACAAAAACATTTGGAGCTTAACGTATATGTTTTAATCATACCTACACCGCCATCTACTGTTAGAGAATAGAAAAACAGTTGTTTGACTGTCAAGGGCACTTCATGACACCACCACCATTATTAGCAAGTAAATTCCCAAGATAAATAGCCGGCTACACGCGACAATAATGACATTTAATTTAAATATACAAATTTAAATCTCTTTCATACCTGTGCACAATAGTCAGATATCTTTGTAGCATTTGCCCTCAGGCCTTGCTAATTTGACTAACCTATCTAAATATATGAAAGTAGTGACTGCATATTATGGGACTCCAATAAACATGCTCTCTTGTTCCCTCGGGGTAGCAGATCAGCGCTGAGGCTGTTGCTATAGAAACGCAGGCAGCACAGGTTGTCGTCGGTTGTTCGGTGGAAAGGTAGTGAAGGTTCACTCGTATGTAAGGAAAGTAGGCAGGTGGATCTGAGGACCGGTGATTTAAGAGAAATAATAAAGGAATTGATCAGAAGAAGGACATGTCGGAGCGAGTAGCTTCATGTGGGAACCTGTATGACACGAACACGCTTCTGCTTCGGTATTGCAACGGTAAGTTTGGCAGCGACTTGACTGGGCATTCATAATGAATGCGCTAGAGAGCCTCACGAGATGGTTTGTTTTCATTACGCAGGTCGATAACGTAAGCGAATTTTGTCTTTGATATTAATCGGTTTTTACATGAACATTCCAGCACTAATGTTATAGACGTGTCGGTGCGTCACTGCCTGCGAGGGCACAACAAAAGAAACTGTCTCAGTGTTGTCAGTGATGAATATATTTGTTTAAATTATGATCAGTTTTATATAGCCTACATGCAAATTTTATTTTACCCTAAGGCATTTTCTTATCGCATATGTGCGGTTGGGATCAGTGTCAGGGTACAAGAATGAACATCTAACGTTACTCAGAGATTCAGGCTCATGTTAAATATTAGAGCATTTCAGTCCGAGCTACATGATTTCTCATGTGTTTACATTTTTCATTCATTTTTTCCCCTCATCTGGTGATACGCTTTGAGCCTCTTATCCTGATTCAGTTTGTTTTTCTGGGCCTTTGTTATTTGATTTCAGCTATGCATAATGTTTTGGTGGAAAGAATGTACTGAGTTACTTATTTATTGTGATCCAGTAATCTAGTGTATAACATTATGCACCTATTAAGATGGATTTACCTGGGTTACATTGTATCCGTAGTGCTAAAGTAAACATCTTGTCTGTTGTCAGCATTATAATGACTATTAATACAAAGATTTTGATTTGAAATGGGATTGCAGTAAGATTCAATCATTAACAAACATTAACCAAAAGATTTTTATTTACAAAGCAACCAGATTTTACACTGTCAAGTTGTGAATGAGCAGAGCAACAGATTTGATTATGATATAGAGTCTTATCATGAAAGCATTACATTTACATTCATGCATTTAGCAGACGCTTTTATCCAAAGCAAAAGTAATTTCTCAAAGAGCAAACAATATTCATTATATACAATGGCAGGTTTATTAAACACCTAGATTAGATTAGGAAGCAAGCTCGAGAAGAGAAATGCAGAAAAAGAAAAAAATATATATTTATTTATTATTGCATAGGCAAAATTATATGCATCATGTCTGACAATTTTGTAAATGCATACTGTAAACAACAGCAGAAATGTGATTTACCTGTCTAAAACATTGTTCTGAATATTGCATTAGTATTAGCCAGTCTACCAACTGATGAATGTGGATCAAAATATCATAAAGTCTGTTTGGACACATGGCCTTTGACCTCAACCACAGCCAAAAGATGTGGATAAGATAAGATGTTTCTCCTCCCTTTTAGCGACAGTAAGCCTATTTATTTTGCTATCCTAATGATTATATGGTTAATTGCATTTTATTATTTCAATTGAACATGTTTTCCCCTAGTGTTGGAAGAACAGACTTGTTACTCATTTTGGGTTGTGGTCCATTATTTGAGAACCACTGATATAAAATAAATTTCAATATGTTCAAATATGTTATAAATATGTATCTTTATTTATACAGTATATATACGGCTGGTGCAAATATATAAGAAAATATTTAACAAATACATAAAACAATATATATAAAATAAAGACAGTTAAAATGCTTGAATAAAATTTTTAGCAAATTCAATATTATCACTATATGGCATCCTCATGCTAACGCCCATTGTGCACAGCATGTTGTTGTTGTCACTTAGAAATGACTATTTCATCTTCGTTCTTGTGAATTACAGATTCTCTCAAGGATAGGTATCAGTGTACATAGTGGTCATTGTTTGGGTTTTCCAGTAAGTCAATTTCTGCGACAGATGGTTTGACTGGACGACAGATGGATGGGTAGACGGTATAGATGAGCCTGGGTCAGAGAGAGTATCTGTCGGTGTTGTACAGTTGGATGGCTTCGACTGATATTAAACACTGGTTCTGCATAGCTATCTGAGGTCAGGCTATGATATTAGCAATTCAATTTGTACAGTAAAAATCCCTCATGTGAATCGTATTGATTAAGAAAATGAGCATGCGCCCTAGGGGTATAAAACAACAAGTCGTAAATTGTCAAACGCATGTACACACTTCAGCGTCCCATTGGTGGAGAGGCTGGTCAGTGCACTTCCTGGTAGTGCCTGGCCAATGCATCAGACAGGTCTGGAGTCGAGCCAAAGCTCTCTCTCTCTGCCAACAGCACCACCAGCAGTTTTCTACCGCATAGGAGACGGGAATCAGCGTCCTGTTACAAACATCACCCTTCTCCTCTTTACACACAGCACTGAGTGGTAAAGGGGTGGGGGAGGGTGAGAAAGGGAGGTCCAGACACGGGATCAGCCATCCAGCAAGCCAAGGGGAAGGTGGGAGAAAGAAACCTTGGCCAGGGAGGCGTTTGGCACCTTTAGGAACCCCCTAGAGAGCTGCAGAGGATCAGGCTGTCTGAGCGGGTGACTGACAGGCGGACATAGTACTGACTGGAATGGCAGGTAGGAGGGGAGTACAAGCAGAGCGGGATGATGAATATTTCAACACGCTCGGTCACTGAGCATCCGGTTTCCTCCAGACTGCTTTTGTCTTCCAGCATCACTATTCAGCTTTATCCTGCTTTCTTCTCACCTTCCACTTTTGCCTCCCATTTATTCTTTCACTTTTATTATTTCAGTTGACGTGCTCACCACCTGCTGATGCTGCTTTACAGCTGTGATCTCCATGTGTTAGCGGTGCAGGCTCTAAAAGAGGTTTATTATATATGCACACTTAGCGTGGAGCCCGTTGCATTGCCCTTGAAATTGAAACAGAGACAAGGAGCCACTGTTTTATGTGAAATATTGAGGAGCTAAATTTAAAAAAGAAATGTGACAGAAAAATTCAGTTTAGTTTTGGTTATTGTGTGTATTTATATGTTGTATATTTAAATGAAACACATTTGATGGCTGCCACAGTGAATCAGCATTGTTAGCATTTGAAACTTTCTCAATTGTTTGCTCAGGCTTTCAGTTTTTGTTTTCAAGTGATTTTAATGGATTTTTGTGGTAAGAACACATTTTGATGGATAAATATATTTAATCACAGAAGTTTTGACACTTAAAAATGCACAAATTTTTATTCGTGCAAACAAGGTTTTCTTTGAACTACCATTTTTTTCAGTTGCTTACAACCAACTAGATCCCAGTGTTGTTATAGTGGATGTATGAAGTGACAGCCAGGTTTCCTAGCAGGGCTAATGACTTAAATGTTGAAATATTGTAAATTAAAATGGACTTTCCACTTTAGGATAATTGGAGTGACTTTTTGAACCAAATTCTTTCCGCAGTCTCTATCCAAATTGTATTAAATAAAAAAAAATGTTAAAAAATACCTTAAAGTAGTATTTCTCAACCAGGGGGCCCCGGCAAACTTTCAAGGGACAGCAGGATGATTTAATGTAATATATTTTTAAAATAAAATTTACGTATATTAATAGTAATAATAATATTGTAAATATTTTAACTTAATTGAAATGCTTAAAACAAGATGTAAACAGAATTTATATTTTCTCCTAATAACTATTGCTTGTTATTTATGTATTTATTTATTTAAAACATAAGGAATCACACAATTAATTGTAGGTAATAAATATATCAAAGATTCAAGTTTCTGATAAAAAAAAGTTTGAAAACAAGCAGCTTTGTCATAGTTACAGAGGTACCAAAGGAAATATTATAATATCATACCTTATATACCTTATTTTGGGTGGCCTTTGAATATGGTGTTGGACTATGGGGGGCCTTTGAGTCAAAAAGGATTGAGAGCCACTGGTTTAAAGGGATAGTCATCATTTACTCACCCTCATGTCTTTCGAAACCTGTATGACTTTTGTCTTTGGAGCACAAGAAGAAAAAAGAAAGAAAGTTATACAGATATGAATAAACTCTACAAATGTAATTTTCTGCAGATTCTTATACTATAACTCTCTGTCTGTCTCTTTCAGATGATAATGTGTCAGCCGGGAGTGGGATGGAGATGGATGACCGTATCTCTCACCTGGAGCAGAGGGTGCAGCTGCAGGAGGATGAGATTCAGCTGCTGAAGGCGGCGCTGGCGGATGCTTTGAGAAGGCTGGGCTGCTGTGAGGAGATCACACAGTCCAGCAGCAAGAAAGGTGGACCTACTAAAGGTCAGCGCTTCATCATGGCCCTCTGCTTATTGCCATTATGTCTTTAGAGCCTAGAAAACCGCCAAATGAAAGATACTTATCTAAAGCAACTTACAGTGAAATAAACTACGAGGGTAACCTTGTCTAAGGGTGTATTACTGATTGATAATTGTGAGATGCAATCTTTGTGTTAGCATCCTAGGTTCTTAACCAGGCCCTGACTAGCCATCGGGAGCACCGGGAGAATTCCCGGTGGCCTGGCGGCTGATTTGGCCCACTGCCCTGTTTTTTTTTTTTTTTTTTTTTATATTGACATCAATATCGATTGTAAAGTTACATTAAAAAATTTTGCAGAGACAGATATTCACATGGATTTATTGTATAGGGAGGGAGGGAGCTAGAGCAGACAGCAACACAAAAATAATATGAGTCACAGCCTAATAATTCAATAGTGTGTAGAGTATTAGAATTTTCAACAAATATATTGTACTAATTTTGACATTTAGGCGCTTTAGAAATTGTGTTTTTTTTCACTACCAGTCGAAAGGTTTTGATCAGTAAGATTTTTTATGTTTTTTAAAGAAGTTTCTTCTGCTCACCAAGCCTT